AAGGGAGACATAAAACAAGTCCACCTACTACACCACATGTGTTAGTGGATGGTGATCATCGTTACTATCCAGAGTCCCTTCAGCACATATTCCCTCCAGCTGACAGACGTCATCGATGGGGCCCACTTTCTGGCGGATCAAGGCATGCCCGTCGCAGGAATAACAGCGCAAGTTCTAACTATCAGGCAGAAGATTCCGTGGGGTAAACTTATAGGCATGTTCAAGATAAGGGTCTTCGGATGTACAGAACTATATACATATATATGATAGAGATATATATATATATATATATATATATATAGGTATATGCTATATATAAATATATATATATAGGTGAAAGGAAAAAAAAAAAAAAAAAAAAAAATAGAAGGCAGCTCGCGAGCCGGCTCGCGAGCTGTCGAACAGCTAATTTTGGGCTCGAGCTCGAGCTCGTCCGAAGCTCGAGCTCGTGAGCTCGAGCTCGAGCTCGAAAATCCCGAGCTCGAGTTCGAGCTTTTTCCGAGCCGGCTCGTCGAGTTCGCGAGCCGGCTCGGCTCGTTTACCACCCCTACCTTCAACTATATATTGTTTTACGGAAAAAAACATCTCATTCAGTAGGTAAATTTGACATCGTAAGAGTGAAAGTGTACGATAATACATAGTTGAGGGGTAACTGTAATTACAAACAAGAGGGGCTTTTTCGTTTTCGTAATTTAACATTACCTCAGGAGGTGACTGGAATTACAAATAAGAGGGGCTTTTTTGTAATTTAACATTACATCAGGGGGTGACCGTAATTTGGCATATATTTTTATTTGATTTTCAAATATATATATGGTAAATTACAACCACCCTGAGGTATGGTCAATTTAAGAAAAAAAAACTCCTCTTGTTTGGATAATTACATCTAACACCATCAACTATGACTTTTTCTTACAGCTCTACCCTTATGATGTCAAATTCAACATAATCATCTAGATTTCGTGGAATGTGCTATAGTTTGTACTCGTTTTGTGTAAAAATACAGTTTTGTATGCATCACAATCTGATATATACAAGCCAAAAAACTCATATTATGATTATCTTGATTCAAAACGTGGAGTTCGAATTGGATCAAAAATGATAATATTTTATATAATATTGAAGATTCCACTAATTTTAAAATCGTAAAGGTGGACGTGTAAAAAATTTATAGTTGAGGGGTGATTGTAATTACCCAAACAAATAGGGGGTTTTCGTAATTTGACCGTACCTCAGGAGTGAACGTAATTTGGCATATATTTTTATTTCCTCAAAGATTTATGGACCACATAGCAAAAATGGGTAAATTGCGTTTTGCACCCCATACTTAACAGTGTCTGGCTTTGTACACCCTAACATCTTAAAATTTGCAAAGATGTTATGGCGCTACAAAGCCAAACACTGTTAATTTGGGGGTGCAAAGCGCCAATCAGGGTTAATTATAGGGTGCAAAACGCAAATTCCGAAAAAACATAAAAGAACACTAAATAACGATAATGGCAAATTCACAAGTTGCCAGTTGTGAACTCTTCTGAGATGGGCAAGTTTGAAAACAACTCCATAAATTAAGGTTCTGCTAATATCTTCCATTCATTCTTTCTGCAAATATATATATATATATATATATATATATATATATATATATATATATAAACACATCGATCTCGTTCCTGTAATTTCTCATCCTCATTTGAATGATAAACAAAAAAAAAAAAAGAAATCCCCATTAAATAAAGCAAGCATCTTGATCCAGTGTCCACGTGTCATATGTTAATGTCAACAAGGTTTCTGTATCGGCCCTCTGTACTCTGTTTCACCACCACCAGACTTCTCTCTCTCTCCTCCTCCTCCGCCGCCATACGCCGCCCCTTCTCCACCTCAAAGCCGCCCTTTCTCTCTCTAGGTCCAAATTACATCACAACCCTCGATCAATAAATTAATTATTCCATTTTTTAATGAGGTTTTTTTTTTTTTTAATTTCAAGATTCATAAATATCTAAAAATTGAACCTTTTTTTTTTGTTGTTGCAGGGAAGATAAGATTTGGGGTTTTCGTGAACAATAGATCTTCGATGAGTTCGTCGCCGGAGAAATCATCAGTTCAGAAGGCTGATAGAGTGTTACTAGAGGGTGTAAACGATGACCATGGTGGAGTGATAGTTGAAATTACCAATGTGCCCCTGGATCCTCTTGTTTTTGCTTCTTCACTCAGAGCCTCTCTTTCCCATTGGAGACAGCTGGTACTGTGTTAATTATATATATTATATACATATATACTTATGTGTGTGTGTGTGTGTGTGTGAGTGTGTGTAAATCTGTTGGTGAAATTCCAATTATTGGGTAAAAATGGTGTTTTAAGGTTGTAGCTACAATAGAAACTCGATAAATTAATAATCTCAGCTTACATAATAGTTTATTCTGGTCCCGACTCCGTAAAAAGCCTACTAAATTATTAGTTCGATAAATTTAATATTTTGCTAAATTAATAGAATTTTGCTAGCCCCGACTGTATTAATTTAGTGAATGACTTTGCAGGGAAAGAAGGGCATATGGATTAAAATACCTATCGAGCTCGTTAATCTCGTCGAACCTACTGTTAAGGTTAGAGTTACATTCTCTTCGTACAATTCGAAAAGATTCTTACATTGAGTTATCTTGAAATTTATTGATCAAATGCGACGTTTGGTGTGAACGGGATCTTTTATTTTTGCAGGAAGGATTCTATTTCCACCATGCGGAACCTAAATATTTGATGCTCGTAAATTGGCTCCCTAATTCTGCGAATACTCTGCCGGCTAACGCCTCGCATCGAGTCGGTATAGGTGCATTCGTCTTGAACGACAAGAATGAAGTATGTTCCGTCGTTTTTCATTTAAAATTTTAAAATTACTATTGTGGCTTATTTATGAATGGACATTTTCGATATTATTTTTTACGAAACATTTAAAAACTTATTTCTTAATCAAATGTCGAAAAAATTTGTAATGCGTATAGGTATTGGTAGTCCAGGAGAAGAGTGGAAAGTTCCGAGGATCAGGTGTGTGGAAGTTTCCTACCGGGGTTGTCGATGAGGTACGTTTCGATTTTATAATCGAAGAAAAAAATATGAAATACTGAAACTTCTCATACACTAATATTATGCTTTTTGTTTTTATATAATTATTTTATTTTATTTTATTATATAGGGTGAAGATATATGCGATGCCGCAGTTAGAGAAGTAAAAGAAGAAACTGGAGTAAGATTAATTTCTTCTTATTCGATACAAAATTTTCGGTGTTTTTTTTTTTTGTTTTTTTTTTTTTTTACTTATAACTATGGTTTTATTTCAGATTGACTCGAAATTTGTAGAAGTACTAGCATTCAGGTAGTAATACTCAACCAAATTGCTCGATTATTATCACCTGTTTTCTTATTTTCCGATTTCTCGAGTATATGATTTGTTACTAAAAATATATGTTTTTGGGGGGGAGTTTCAGACATAGTCATCAGTCGTATTTCGAGAAGTCGGATTTGTTCTTTGTGTGCAGGCTCGAACCACTCTCCGAGAAAGTGCAGCCACAGGAATCGGAAATCGAGGCAGCCCAGGTTTGCTTTTCGAGATTATAATGCATGCATAATAAAATTGTATTTTGCACACGAAAAACAAATACGACTTGTCAAAATACGATTGGTGCTTTTGTCGTACGTAAATCGTTTTTTTTTTTTTTAAATTGCAGTGGATGCCTTATGAAGAATACGTAGCGCAACCATTTGTACAGAATCACCAACTTCTGAGAAAAATCGGTGAGATATGCACAGCAAAGAAAAATGGAGAATATTCAGGATTTTCAGCTGTGACAACTACTACTAATTTTTCCGAGAACAAGGCCTATTTATACATGAATGGTCGATTATAGCTTCCGATTTTTCTTTTGGTAAATTACAACTGCCCCCCCTGAGGTAACATCTATTCACAAAAAAAAACCCTCATTTTCCCATAATTACATCCACCTCTAAAATTTGTAGATTTCTTACATTAACACCCTTTTGTACGGAGGTGGATGCAAGAAATATACAAACTCCAGGGAGCTGGATGTAATTTCTCAAAAATAAGGTTTTATCTACCCTTTTTATAATCAGCATTGTAAAATACTGTTTACAAATGTTGGTATTTGAATTTGAAATATATTGTTTTATTTTTATTTTAGTTACTTTCATGTTTTGGTTAATAATTTGAATATATATAAAAATAATTAAAACATCGAATTATCGAAAGTTATACACAAACGCACACGTATATTTGAGTAGATAGAAAAACAGTTGGAACAGGCTTGACAATCAGACTCTAAGCTCTACTGCTTGTTTACCAACCTAAACACATTTTACTCTTTTTCCAGAAATAAATAAATTCAAGAAATTTTAAAATATGATATACATGGACTATTTTACCCCTCCTCCGTATCTTAGGCCGACGAGGCTAGAATCCACCTAGTAGATGATATACCAACTTAATATACGTATTCATATCTATGTGACGATAAATGTTGGACCTTTCGTTAATCTTACCTTAAGCTGAAAAGCAATTCTCGAATTCGGCCGAGGGCAGGGTTGTAATTTGACAAACCATGCGAAAACCTTGTATAAAAGCCCCAGATGTGGTATCTTTAGCTTCATTATCCCTTCGTCTTGATTAGACATAAACGGCTAAAGACAAACATGATCAGCTATTACTTCCTTGGACAAATGGTTTCGGTGAAGATGATGATATGCTTAGTTTTCCTGCAAACTCCGGCAACTGCTGCCGGAAAAGCCGAGGGCTTGGCGGCTGAATTGCCGAGGAGGGAGGAGCTGGTGCACTGGGGTGGTTACGGTGAAGAAAAGCTCTCCACTGTTGTTATTAGCGGCAAACTTCTCTGCCATGCTGGCGCACATGACAAACTTTCCGGCCATCCGTATCCCGTCTCAGGTTCTCTCTCTCTCTCTCTCTCTCTCTCTCTCTCTCTCTCTCTCTCTCTCTCTCTCTCACACACACACGCACGCACGCACACAAAGAAAAACTAACCTCAAAAAAATACACCATAAATACTTGCAGGCGCATCAATGGCTGTTTTCTGCGGCACAAGCGAGAAGAAAAAGAAATCATGGGCAGTAGGCAGAACAAATAATTACGGAGAATTCGTAATCGATCTTCCCTCTCATCTACATGCAATTCCCAACTTGGAAAAAACATGTGTCGTTAAAGTTCTTCATGTCCCAAAGAGTTCCCCTTGTGGACGAGCTTTTACTGGCAAAAATAAACGGATAAAGCTGAAATCAGTAGGCGAAGATGCTCGTATTTACACCACACACAACATAAATTTGATTCCAAAACCTTCACAAGAGCACAAGAGAACGCAAGAGTCGAAACAGAACATACCATACCTGTCTCGAGTGGATGGGCGTTTTCGTCACATAAAAGTATCTCGTGCTTGAAATATACTCATGTACAGTGTGCTCTGTTTCGAGTGGATTATAAACATAAACAAGAAAAAGATATATATATCTCAACTGGGATTTCAGTAAATACGAAAAATTTACGACATTCAGTTCCGATCTTGTCCAAGAAAGAGTACGAAAGGTAGCAAATAAACACAATCCATTAACCGTTATTACAAGGGGGGAATTTTGTTTGGCTGTCTAACTGTAACAAAAATACAGTTAAGAAGAAGCTTCTGGAACTTTCTCGGTGGAACAAGAAACAACATATTTAGCAACATCCACACAGCATTTCAGCTTATCTGCTTCTGCATCGGATATCTCGACAGAGAATTCCTCCTCAAAAGCCATGACGAGTTCCACTCTGTCCAAGCTATCGAGGCTCAAGTCCTTCTGAAAATCAGCTTTTTCCGTCACCTGCGAAACGTTCATTTTTTTGGTAATTACTTAAAAACAGTTTTTAAAAACAGGCACAAACACGATTATTATTATTATTACCTTGGCAGCATCAATCTTGTCAAATTTTTTCACCAGCTTAATAACTCGATCCATCACTTGATCAGCGTCGGTACTTGCAGCTGTGCTGCATGTACGAAGCAATTGCGTACGTTTGTACGTTCCATTAAGATCGTTTCCAATAGAAGACGTTCTCGCAGGGACCTTGATTCTTGAGTAACCTAAAATAGTGGTACGCAATTTGTGCATTTTTTTCTATCTGTCGAAAATTCGAAAAATCAGGCCATCAAGAAACAACGTGTAAATTCCACAATTAAATAAATACACACGCATAAAAGGAACGAATGAAATTCACAAAATAAAGGAAAATACACGTCGTAGAAGGAGAAGAGTTCGATTTAAAACCCGTTGTTTTACAAACAAGTTCGATGAATTTGAAAACTCTCAACTTCTAACGGTGCTTAAAACAAATCAAGCCTCGGTATATTTTCCATCAAGCATTATCCAATGATGAAGGAAAGCATTTGCTTCAATATTAAGAAGATTCGATACCGGGTGAATTCCGGTCATGATTATATACGTGAGAGAAATTCGGAAGCATTTAAACGGCAAAATATGGAGTTTTTAGCATTGAAATGAAATGAAAAGAACCAAGTAGGATAAGAGTTTAGCAATATACAGTAAATGTGAGGGCACCTAAACAAAAGCTGCAATATTTATTTTATCATCAAATACTAAACATCTCAATTCACGAACATATACAAGAAGCAAAAACTAAAACATATGAATCTAAAAAGCATTGCAGAATATACTGAATCATCAAACGCAAGAACTAATGGAGAGTTTGAAAATTTATGCAAAAATGGGAGAAATTAAAAAAAAAATAAAAAATCATATGCAACGAATAAAGGATGCGAAATTTCGAGATAATTACGTGACTGCGTAGTTCGAATCAACTGACGAAACAATGCAGCAAAGCTTCGTCAAAATCTCGAGGCTAAAAGATCAAGAGTAAGAGCGCGCATCACCTGTTTGCTTAAATGACTGAGAGAGAAAAATGTTCTGTGAATTGAAAACCCGGCCCGAAATTTTGCAAGACCCAATTTAAATACATTTAAGTAAATAAATGGGCCCGCTTCGTAAATGGGCTTGAGGTAGAAATAAACTCACATTACATTTTCTTTTTCTTTTTTAAATATAAATGCATATTTATTAATTTATTTATATTAAATGACAATTACTTTAAAATTAAGGGGTTTTGAAGAAACTAAAAATTAAATGGAGGTAATTAATTAATATTAGCAGAAAAAAAAATAGTAATTGTTGAAACGTTTGTTATATGTCTCTTTCTATCAAATCAAAGGTTTAATAAAATAATTAAAAATCAGAAAAATAAATAAATGAAAAGAAAAAATGAAAATGGAAATTGGGAGCAGTCCTTTTTTATGGTGGGGGCCAAAAGAGTAAAAGTCGCATGTGTGCTAGGGTCCACGCTTTTATGATGAAATACTGTTTTAGAGCTTTCATAATCATGATGTGGGCCCTACAACAATAACTATCACTACCAGTTAATTTTTTTTTACCGCGGTAATACTAATGGTAAACCGTGATTTTTTACCGTATCTACCTACTCTCACCATATGTATGTGTAAAATATGTATAGTTTTCTCCCCTCAAATTTGTATATATTACACATTTGGTCCCTCATGTTTTGAATATTCAACACATTTTTAGTCAATTTCCGTCAGTATTAACGGAATCAAACATGTGGCTATCACCGCCTTAAGTGACGAACTAACGGTAAATTGGCGGAAATTGACTAAAGTGTTAAATTATTGAAACAAGAAGGATTAAATGTGTTTTTTGGTGAACATGGAGGACCAAATATGAAATCGGTGCAAACTTGAGGGATGAAGACTGTAATTTTCCCATAATATTATTATATACACACACATTCATGAATATTACTTGATGAAATCCACCAAATGCACACACTACAAATACACTAAATTTACCAAAATTATTACATCATCCTTTGAACAAATCCAATCCAATAATAGCAAATTTGTTAAATTAGTACATACATGATACAACATTTGCAATAAACATCCAAAAAAATTACAAGTGCCGCATTAGAAATTTCGATCGGGGCTCATTTTTTTACGTACAGATCTCAACATACACGTGCATAGCTAACGGTATATTTCACACATATTTTCACAACATAGATGTGTAATAATACGATTGTATGTAAATCTACGGTGAAATACAACCTAGTGCATGTCCCTATCTCATTCATTTTTTCCCAAAAAAAATAATAAAAACATCTGAAAAAAATAATTTAATATGATTCTATTAATTACCTAGTGTAAGTCTATCTGATTTTTTTTTGCTAAAAATTAATGAAAACATCTGGAAGAATAATTTACAGTAGTAGCACAAGGGAAATTATAACCAGAGAGTGGTTTTCAAGAAGGATGATGTGACCCCAACCCCCCCACCCCCCCCCCCCCCCACCCCCACCCACCCCACCCCATAGTCCCACACCACATTATTTCATCACACATCTCAACAAATAACATCATAATACAGTTCCAAATTCACAGGATTAATTACTTTCTAGTAATCAACAAATCAAGAATCCATCTTTTTTTACTGTTACCCCCCAACACCAAAGATTCAATCTTTAAGCTAATCTACCAAAAGGGATTCCTTTTTTTTTTTTTTTTTCTTAAATCAATTTAATGAAATTTGTAAATCCCTAATCAAATCTTAAATTAAAACCCCTTTTACTCGAGTTGTTGTTCTTTCTTTTTTGTTGTTTTTTTTGCATCGATTTTAGCATGGTAGATGTGAAGGAAAGGAAGCTGTAAGTGTAGAGATTTAAAAAAATGGGAAATGCAAATGGAAGGGAGGATGGTGGCAGCGACGGCCAATTTGCGGCGGAGGACGGCGGCGCTGCGCAGGTTAGCATGGCGGCTGATCGAGGTGAGGAGATGGGGCCTTCGCCCCCTCCAAGTCCTAGAGCCACCCAATCTCCTCTCATGTTCAAACCTCAGGTCAATTTTTATTTATTTTCTGATATTTTTAATTTAATTCTTGAAAAATGCCAAACATTTGTTGAATTTATTGGTAGGTGTGTGTATAAAAATGGGATCTTTTTGTCACAATTAAGTGCAATTTATGGTAGTTGTAGTATTAATTTGACTGTTGTATCATATGGGCTATTGTTCTCATTAATATATATGCATGGTTGACTGTAGCATTTGGTGATTAAGCTAGATCTGAACACTTTTAATGCTGGATTCATTCAGTTCTTGATTTAATTTTGTCGGGCAGTAACTCCTCGAAAGATCCGTTTTTTATTCCGTTGCGTGATTATCTAGAGAATGGAAAGCTCGTGTTTGCATAAGGGATATCGAATCCGAATTCGGGCATTTATCCGCCAATGGTTAACGAGACGTTTGAACTTGCAAGATGTTGTCTTTATCGATTTCTGAACGTGGGTTTTTTTTTTCTTTTTTTTCCGTTTATTTTATGTACAGTTGCCTGTGGTTCCTTTACAAAGACCCGATGAACTGAACATACCGAGTCCTACATGGATGCAAAGCAACTCTGGTTACGAAGACACAAGCAACGAGCAAGGTATTCCGACCATGATTACGTGGAGCTACGGCGGAAAAGAAGTTGCTGTCGAAGGTTCATGGGACGACTGGAAAACGAGGTTATTCTTGTATATATATACGTATGCGTACATCTTTATCAAGATTCGAAGATTTATACGAAAAATTGAATCTTGTTAATTTAATTAATGCAGGAGGCCTTTGGCAAGATCGGGTAAAGACTTCACCATAATGAAAGTACTTCCTTCGGGAGTTTATCAATATCGGTTTATAGTCGATGGACAATGGAGGCACTCTCCCGATCAGCCGTGGGAGCAGGACGAATCGGGAAATTCATTTAATGTTTTAGATTTGCAGGTATGTCCCCGAACTAAATGATATTTTCGTTGTATTTTTTATACTTCCTTCTCGTGAAAATACTCGCTTCTTGTCATAGTTTTCGGTTAGGCTAATTCGACTGCTATTTTAAGTGACGCGTGATTGGCTAAGAATTAGCATTGGTCCTTCCTATAGTAAAAATGGGTTTTTTTTTTCCGGTTACTGATTTATATTTTTCGAACGGAAGATGTATGAATGTAGGTCGTTGCTTACTGTAAAATTTGTTTTTCGATATTTGTACGATATAATGCAACTCGAATCTTTAGAAACTTTCGTCGGAAAAAATATCAAAAGATTCGACAAAAATTGCACTACACAACCTACTATGGAGTACGCCTTGAGAAACTTTTGTGGAAAAAATATGACGAAAATACCCTTCCCATTAATTTTCTTTCCATTAGTTTTCTCTTAATTTAATTAGGAGTGATAAGGGCACAATTGAGAAAACGGTAATTAATGCATCACAAATAATACGGCTCAAGAAAAATTCTCCGACAGTTAATTTGAAACAGAGGGAGCAATAATATCTGCCGTTTAAGGTTTTTAAGTTATTAGAATATGGTCGAATCGTAGAAAAAAGGACAAAAAAGACGAAAGTAACCTTAACCAGATAATGAGGTTACAAGAGAGTTAAAAATTGCTTAATAGAATTGGATTAATGAGGGTAAAATCGGAAGAAAAAAAAGGGTACATTTAATGCGTTATTGGAATTTTAAAGTGATGAGATAATATGCAGGATTATGTTCCGGAAGATACCGACAGCATATCAGGATTCGAGCCGCCACAATCGCCCGATTCTACCTACAACAACACGCAGCTCGTGCAAGAGGATTTTGCAAAAGAGCCCCCGATAGTGCCACCTCATCTAACTCTGACTTTACTGAACGCCCCCTCGTCGCACATGGAGATTCCACCACCTCACTCGAGGCCGCAGCATGTCGTTTTGAACCACCTGTACATGCACAGAGATAGAACCCAACCCTCTGTTGTGGCACTTGGCTCGACCAATCGGTTCCTCTCGAAATACGTGACTGTCGTTCTTTACAAGTCAATACAGAGGTAACAAAAAAAAAATATTCGAACGTCGGAGATTATTAATTAGTCTTGTTATAATTAATTGTTGAATGTAATTTTGGATGTAATCGTTGAAATTCGAAAGTGAAAGAGGCGTCGATGAACGTGTTTCTAAAGATGTGTTTTTTTTCGTTTTCTTTTGACAAATGCGAGTTCGTTGGTTTTTTTTTTCGCTTGTTGGTAATATTTTGTTGCAAGTATGTTGTGTTTATTACGTATGTATACAATAACATGGTTGTCGAAACACGAAATGTTAGAGTTGGATGCATGCTTCTCATGCTGATTATTAGGGTAAATTACAACCAACCACCTGAGGTATGATAAAATTACGAAAACCCCTTCCTGTTTGGGTAATTACAACAATCCTCCTCAACTTTAAATTTTCTTACACGTCCATCCTTGCGGTTTCAAATTTAGTGGAATCATCTTGATTATATGGAATATTATCACTTTTATATCCGTTTTATCCCATTCGAACTTCACATTTTGAAGCAGGATGATCATAAGATGTGTTTTTTGGCTTGTATATATCAGATTATGGTACTTCAGAAACTGTATTTTTACACAAAATGAGTACAAACTATAGTACATTCCACGGAATCTAGATAATTATGTTGAATTTGACACCAAGGGTGAAGGTGTAAGAAGATTCATAGTTGAGGGGTAGATGCAATTATTCAAACAAGAGGGAGTTTTTCATAATTTGATCATACCCCATGGGTGGTTGTAATTTACCCTGATTATTAAGACAGAAGGACTGACCACGAACCGTACTATATGTATTTCGTGTGTACATACAAGATAACGAAGAATTATCTGATTATATGTTGGGTTTCGTTCGACGGCGATAAAAATCATCTTTTAGAGAAACATTAATGTCGACGATTGCATCTTTAATATCAAGGGGTAATCACAAAAAACTCCATGACAAGGGCACTTAATTAAAATAGGGACATCCAACTTTTTTGTCTTCCAAATAAATCCACCCCATTCAAACTTATTTGCAAATAAGGAAAATCCTTTTATATATACCAAAATTACCCTTAATTCATTGAAACTCAATTCAACTCCAATTTCATGATTTACACCTCAATTTAGCCCAATTTCATCAATTAACCAATTTTAACCCTAATTTCAATTTTGACCCCAATTTTAACCCTAATTCTTATCAATTCCACCGATTATGCTCTAACTTCCTTAATATTACACATTGACCCCGGATTTTAACAAATATATCACATTAACCCCCAAAACTTTTTTTTTTCTAATTTTTTTTTTTTCTGAAATATTTTTTTCCGGCCAGATTCCGGCATTGACGCCCGGAGACCGCCGGTCTCCGGCGTTGACTTTTTTTTTTCTTAAAAAAAATATTTTAATTAATTTTACTGTCTTGGCTACTAAATTACTGTCTCCGGCAGCTATTTAACTGTCGGAGACAGTAATTTAACTGTTAATTGACAGTATTTTTTTTTTCTTCAAAAATATTTTAATTAATATTACTGTATTCGTTGCTAAATTACTGTCTCCAGCAGTTATTTAACTGTCAGAGACAGTAATTTAACTGTTAATTGACTTTTTTATTCTTAAAAAAATATTTTTAATTAATATTACTGTATTCGTTGCTAAATTACTGTCTCCAGCAGTTATTTAACTGTCGGAGACAGTAATTTAACTGTTAATTGACTTGTTTTTTTCCTTACAAAAAAATTTATTTTAATTAATATTACTGTCTTGGATGCTAAATTACTGTCTCCAACAGTAATTTAACTGTCTTAAACAATAATATTAATAATATTACTGTTCGGAAAATTAATATTCATAATATTACTGTCCCAAACAGTAATATTACTGTCTGAGACAGTAATTTAGTAGTCAAAACAGTAATATTAATTAAAATATTTTTTTCTAAGAAAAAACAATTCAAAAAAAAAAAAAAAAAAGTCAACGCCGGACACCGGCGGTCTCCGGCGGTCAACGCCGGAATCTGGCCGGAATTTGGCCGAAAAAAAAACATTGCAGAAAAAAAATTAATTTCTGAAAAAAAAAAGTTTTGGGGGTTAATGTGATATATTTGTTTAAATCCGGGGTCAATGTGTAATATTAAGGAAGTTAGATCATATTGGGTGGAATTGATAAGAATTATATTATTGAGGGTATTTTAGACTAAAGACATGGGGATGGGCTTAATTGAGAGACTGTTTTTTTTGTGGACCAAAATGCATTTAAGTCCCAAGTGATGGGCCTTTTTGCCATTTGCCCTAATATCAAATGCATCTCCATAATAGTACACACGTCTTCGTCGCTCGTCACCGACACATATAGTGTTTCATTTTTGCGAAATTTTGAATTAATTCCTCAAATATTTTCGACATGTATCCTTTTTCATTAATTTTAATTTTAAAAAATAATTCATATTTTCGAGACATAACATTCTATAATATTAAGATTAATTTGTGTCTATATTATTATTATTTCTTTAATGATAGCGGGTTAATTTGGTAATCTCAAGTAAGGCACGTGTCAGGCCCATTAGGTCCATTAGAAAATGGACTTAGTTATAACGTACATATTAGAAAATGGGCCTAGATTTTAAGATGAATAAAAAAAGTTGATTTTTATTTTATTATTATTATTTTTTTTAATTTAAAAAAAAATGATATTTTTCCCTGACAATCCAAATCTCTTGAGATATTGTCTATTATGATAAGTAATAACAAGACTAAATTGATCTTTATTTTAGGCCATAAAAGAATGACTCTTGGCAACACCAAAAAGCTTTTATTTTATATATAATATAAGATAAGATTAGGGACCTATTTGTTATTATTAATATTTACGAATAATACATTTTTGCAAGCAAATCGGTGGGTGGGAAAAGTGGATTTGTTAGGTGCATGAATGGTAATTTAATTATTGTATGAATATAATTTTGGAATTGAAAGTGAAGCCCTCATTTTTACACTTTTCTTTTTTCCTTTTTACCTAATTATTATTGTAATCACTTGCATTATTGTGCCCACCCACCCAAATTAAAAATAATAAAAAAAAAATAAAAAATTAATAAACACTTATTTTTGGTCTACTTGCTTTAATACAAATTTAGCAAAATTTGTTGTCATGTATAAAAATAGTATGAGGCTAAGCACTGTTATTTAAAATTGATGCTCCTATCTTTGGATTATTATGAAATATATATAATAAGATAATTAAATAAAAAATAATAGGTTTTTTTTTTTTTTTTTTTTTTTTTTTTTTTTTTTTTTTTTTTTTTAATGTTTTTGTCCTTAGAAGTAATTAAGAGAATTAGATCTCTTGTGCCACAATCGTGTCAAAGGTACCCCTCCGTTCCTAATAAATTGTCGGTTTTTTGCTTGGTACGAGTATTAAGAATCTCGATAAATGTGTGTTAGTTTTAAGAAAAAAAATACATTAAAAAGACTAAAATAACCTTGATCATTTTATGATGTAATATGAGATAATTAATACTTAGAGTTGAATTAATAAGGTTTAAATAGGAAAAAATATATTTCATGCAATATTGAAAATATAAACCGCGACAGATAAAATCGAATAAAAATATTTTTAAAAAGAAACAGTTATTATGAAATAAATCGAGTAACTTTTATAATTAATTTAAAAATACTTATTTGAAGACAAGATGGATTTACTATGATTTTTCTTTTAGATAAAAACAATACCGACATATCCCATTTGAGAGAAAATCAATATTGACTTTTTTGTTCTCATTTATTGTCTCATATATTTCTTGCCTTGCTAACAAAAAAGGAAAAAAAGAAAAAAAAAAAAAAAAGAGTCAATATTTTTACATCAATGAAAAAAAAACGAGAAAGGGAAATCTGGTAACAGGTTCGAAAGCAATGTTTGCGGGTTTTTTCATTACCAGAAACAAAAAGTAAAAAAAAAAATCATCAATGATCAAAAATATAAGACGGTGGATATATATGCAAATCCATTTTTATATTAGTTCAAATCCATATAAAGGAGTTTATTTGTTTAAACTCGTAAATTAATTTAATTTTATTACATCAAATACAAATAAACTCTATTTTTAATTTGTTCAAGACCAAAAAAGAAATAATTAAAAAAAAACAAAAAAAAAAGATAGAAAAAGAATATAGAAAAAACTCACAATTGTCGCCATCAGACCGCCGAGACA